TCAGGCACAGAAGCAGGACAGGTGTACTGCTGCTCTGAACCTTTCTTTCTGGTGATGCTGCAGGTGTTTTATCAGCTGTATTTTTCCAAATCAACCATAGTCTTACTCTTTTGCGAATACAGTGACGACTATCGTCCAAGGAGAATTCCTATAGGCAGGAACTCTAAATGACATGAATACGTTTTTAAATTTCCACTGAAATAATTTCCTTAAACACTGAGACTTCACGTAAAAGGATACAGTGCCGGAGTCACTGTTGTTAACCTCTTCCTTGGTGCCCTGGTTTATCAGGTGCTAGGTGCCCATCATCATCATCAACCTTTCAGCGCACATAGTCAGACGTTCAGCTTAAGTTTCCCAAACTCCTGAAGGCTTCTCTTTGATGCCGTCTGGGACCAGAGGGCTCTTCTTTTGAAGGGAAGGCTGTTACTTGGCAACGGTTAAAATGCAGTAGCTCAGTCCTCCAAGCTGTGAAGGGAGGTCACTGAAGCCTGTACCATTTAGTGTTTTTGTACACACCTGCTTGACTGTGTGTCAGTATTTTCTGTGTAAGAAACTGTATGTGCATGAATATTTCCACTATTCTTGTTAGGACTCTAGGGAAAAAGGATGTGATTGAGCTTGGGTTTGGGTTCTGAGTCTTTCAGGAATGCATGATGCGATGTGTTGTTAAGGATTGTTTCTTCAGGTGAACACTAGTGATGTCACTATCCTTGACTTGTTTCTATTAACATTTTTTAATTTAGTTTTCAAGACAGAAAAGGGACACCCATATCCAGAATACTTTTCTACTGCTGTAAAATGCCACTCCTGCAGTGAAGACTCCCAGTGTAATCGCCCACCCAAACTTTTCATTCTGACCCCTGAATCCCTTCCTCCCTATGCCACCCTGCCCCTCCTTGATCAAGCACCCTCAGAATATAGTCTCAGGCACACTCACCTGGCTCCTGCCCATACATGTAACTAAGTCCTGGACTTAATTCAGTTTCTAGCTTCTTTTCCCCTACCTGCCCACCACATTCCTAACCAGGTTATCTTGTAACTTAACCTCACCTTCTGGCCTATTGGCCAGGAGAGAAGGCAGGCTGGACAGCAGGAAGAGGGAAGCATATTACCTGATGGGGAAGAAACTTCTCCATTGTCTTCAAATAGGAAATAATACCAGCCTTTAACCGCAGAGAGTGGGCCACTTCTGCAGGCTCTGAGGGTCAAGCGAATCTAGGAGCCAAGATCCTGAGGCTCATCACAAAGGTATTCCTATTCCATAGGCCAGGTATTACTCTTTCCCAATTAGGGTCTTGCGTGGCAGAACTGCTTAGGTTGAGAATTTGACCTTCTCGGGAGCAATGCTACTCTTACTGGAAAGGAGAATGCGGGTCTGTGCTGCGTAGTGCGAGCATGGGTCCTTACTGCCCGTGTGTTAGTTGCCCAGCTCCAGAATCTCAGCGCCTGCTCCCTCAGGTCACCTTCTGTATCAGTTGTTATAGGGCTTGCCTGGAAAGCAGACTCCCAGGTGAGGATTAGTGATCAAAAAGTTTAATTTGAGGAGCACTCTCATGGACAGTGCCACTGGAAGGAAGAAGGAGGCAGAGGTGGGCTCTGATTCAGTGTCAGTAAAAGCCACTTTGCCCCTAGGACACTGCACACAGAGGCCTGCAGACTTGCTGAGCTGTGCTGAGGGTCAAGCCCTAATTCCTCTGCACCAACCACTTACTGAGTGCAGGCAAGTACAGAGGGGACATAGCATTGTCAGGTAGTTCTTTCAGCCGAGCTGTTCCCGAAAGGATTGACAACTGGGGCTGTCTGTCCATGTATTTCCAGCTGCCGAGGGAGTCAGCCCTCCCTTCCTAAGGGGAACAGGTGGGTGTCACAGCATCCAACCAGCCTCATTGAGCGCATGTCCTTTTGTTTCACTGTGAATTACTCTTAAACTCGAGGGTGGGAGGGGGAACATTACCGAGTTGTTGACTAAAATATTTTCTAGCTGTTCTTTTATTCTCATTTCGTTCAAGGCCTGAGGCATGATTCTTCATATTGAATTGTTAATAATTAATTGTTCCTATTTTTATTTCTCCACATAATGCATCATTTATTGTCTGTAACCTCTGTACGTAATTGAATAGTGAAATGAATTTTTTAAATCAATTTTACAAGGTACTTCAAATCCTTTTTTTATATATATCTTTATTGATTTCAGAGAAAAGAAGGGAGTGGGAGAGAGAGAGAGAAACATCAGTGATGAGAGAGAGTCATTGATCGACTGTCTCTTGCATGCCCCTGACCAGGGACAGAGCCCACAACCCCGGGCCCGACTGGCAATCGAACCGCAATCTCCTGAATCTTAGGTTCAAGCTCAACCGCTGAGCCACTCCCGGCCAGGCAGTACTTCCAATCCTTTATCTCACTTCACTAGTTTTCAAAGTCAATAAATAGCTAGTGAAGCTACAAAAATACAATCAGTAAAGCTTTTGTGTTATAATTCTTAAATTTTCAACATGTGAATGAAACAACAGAAAGCTCATAATACATCATCTTTTATGCAAATATTTTAAGACTAATGCAACATTAACAGGAAAAAATTCATTGTTTTTCCAGGAATGGTGATAGACTGCTGGTGGCCACCCACCACACCCCTCTAACTTTCTGCTTGGCCATTAGTGGTCACAGAATGAGCTCTTCAGTTCAGTAAAGCTAAAAGGACTTATTAACACAGTGAGCCTTTGATCCCTTGTTGCAAAGCTGCCTCCTCATTCTCACATGGGTTAAGACAACAGTGTAATGTTTCCAGTTTGAACAAATTCACCTGTATCATATTAAATAATATCATAATTGCCCCTTTTCTGTATTTTGCTTCTTTCAAATAGCTCAGCACTTTCATTGACGTGGATCTCAGTGATTCTTAGATGTTTCTGTGGTTGTTAATCCCTAATCACTTTCTTATGCCGAGTATCCACATTTTTGGATAATATAAAAATGTAACAGCTTTTGAACATTCTTAGTACAGTAGTCACTGCAATAGGTAAAAAAATACTCATTTCAATGAAATGCTTTAACATAAGACCTTTCTTTTCCCACGACTTTCCATTTGGAGGTGCAATCACGTAACTATTTTTAGACAGTCCAAGCAAATTTGCAATATTTATAGTATTTATTCAACAACCATTTAAACACATGCTGTTTCCATACACAAAGGAACTCTAGAGATACAAAAATCAATTAGGTGTGACTCCTCCCCTCAGGAAGCTCAGGAGGGACAGATATGAACTGGGGTATCATGGTATATTGTAATAACTGTGGCCATAGAGACATCCTAATGGATTGACAATGGGCAAAAGCTGGGCCTAAGGAGAGAAAGGGCTTGGGAGGAATGGGGACACCTGAGCTCATTTTGAAGACTTAGTTCTCCGGGTGGCTGGGTACAGGAAGTGAGCCAGGAGACAGGTAGGTAGGCCTTCACTGACAGATGAGAAGGGTTACCCCATACCCTGGAAGACAAGGAGTGAGGTCAGGTTTGTACTTCTGTGCTGTCATCATGCTGATGACGATGTAGAGGGTGCCTGGGAAGAGAGGAGGTTGGCTGTGGATGTGTCATCACACATAGACAGTTCTCGGGAGTTTTCCTAGATGAGTGTGGAAGTAAGCACTTCATTGGGATTGTGTGTTTGACAGAGTAAAGAAACTGCTTCGTAAAAGGCCACATGTCTCTGTCCAGAAGCAGAGCGTCCTTGTGTAGTGAAAATGCATGTGGAGATAGTGCATGCGTTCATATAATAAGGGGTGGGTTCACTCACTCATGTCAGGAGTTTTGAGTTCAACTAATAATAAAAGTGAGAAAATTACTTAGCTTCCTGGGGGTTTTTGGAAAATCTTTATTATAATTACTACATAAATTAGTTTCATTAAATTCATATAAAATCTTTACAGAAAATACAAAATATGAATGACAGTTTTCTAAACATATTTAATGGGGGGGGATCCTTTTCTTTAAAATAGTCAGGTTTTCACATTACTCTGAACAATTTTAATTTTTAAAGAACAAAACAATAATGTCATTTTAATGTTCCTATGAGTCAGCTTATGATTTTAAAATTTCCGCATTTGCTGAGTAGAATTGCCATCGTGCAGACGTCGGTGCCGCTGCCGGAGAGGTTTGCAGCTCACCTGACCTTCACAGGAGTAGGATGTTTGATTTACTGTTCACCTGTTTTTTTGTAAATTGTACTTTTTAATAAAATCCCTTTCTTTACTTAGAATATGGGGAGATAATTTTTCTACGACTCATAATTCAAAAGATAACTTACTGTTCATTTAACATGAGTACTAAAGATTTGGGATGCTGTAGTATTGTGATTTAAGTTATGATTGAAAGCCTGAGTGTGATGTGCAGGCACATGCTGCATTCAGGGTGAGAAAGCAAAATGTGATTATGGCCAGAATACCTTTTCTTAAAATATAGTCTACCTTATGATAAAAAACAAAATCAACCAAGTAAATGTGCAGATCTAATTGGCTTTATCCAGTGATTCATGAATCAGGCAGCGTCCCATCTAGCAGCTAGAAGGCGGTGCCAAGGGGCTGTGCCCAATGGAAGGGTTTTATAGGAAGAAGATAGGCAGGCAAGGGAGCTATTTGCAAAGGAAAAGAAAGGATTGTTCTGGAGCCTGGGCACCTTTTCTGTAGGGTATGAGAAGGGGAGGGTGTTTATTATGCAGATGACCTCTTGTTTCTATGGAGGGTGGAGAGGACCTGGGTGGCAGACGACCTCACTAGTAGTGCTTTCGGAGGACTCCTACCAAATTCTCCCTCTGCACACACTCCCGTCAGTACAGTGATACAGGGTCACCTGTTCCCCTTTCTTTGATATCAGGCCCATGTAAAATACCACGTAAAGCCTGTGTAAGTACAACAGTATGAATAGCATTGTTTATGTGTCTCCTTTCTTCCTGTGTTTAAATGTATACATCAGTACAAAACTTACAATTTGGTTATTTTTCTTCTAGATTTATTCCTCACGACATTGTCTGCCTCTGGTACCTCGCAGTTTGAGATCTGGGAAAATTTGGTAAGAAATCTTTTCTTTGAAGCATTTTTAAATGATGGCTTTCAGTAAAAGCACACAATTTTAGAAAATAAAACGAAAGTAATCACTTGGTCGGTTGGTCTCAACAATAAATAGAACAACTTGAAGAGCCTTTGCTTGGATTGTTGGATTGCTGCATTCAAACTGCTGAATATTGCTGAAGGAGATGATTCATTCAGCGTCAGTTCCTCTGTAGGTTTTTAGGCACGACTGCCAATTAAAACAATCAGTCTGCCCTGATGTGCCTGTTAACAGGGCCCCTGCCAGGCTGCCTGTCAGCCATTGAGAGAGGGTACTGTCATTTAATTTGTCAGCATGGTGGTTTATTGAAGAAAGCCCTTTTTAAAAGACTAATTTTTCCTCCTCGCCTTCAGGCTTATATAAAAAAATAATTAGAAGAAAACAGATACGAAACTTATTGCCAAATTGACCAAGATTAAGGAGTCTTTCCCAGTACATATATATTTTTTTTAATTTTAATTTATTTTATTGTTGAGAGTATTACATATGTTCCCCATTTTCCGCCCCTTGCCTCCCTTCACGCATCTCCCAGCCCATCCCAGGCCTTCACCTGTCTATTGTCTGTATCCAGGGGCTGTTACTAATTTGTCCTCAGTCCCTTCATCGTTTTTGCCCATCCCCCAAGCCCTCCCATCTGGCAGCTATCAAAATGTTCTCTGCATCTCTGAGTCTGTTGCTGTCATGCTTGTTCATTTATTTGGATTTGTAGATTCAATTATTGATAGGTACTTATTGCTATTTTATTGCTCATATATTTTACTTTTTTCTTCTTCGTCTTCTTAAAGAAGACCCTGTAACATTTAATGTAATACTGGTTTGGTGGTGGTGGACTCCTTTAGCTTTTTCTTATCTGGGAAGCTCTTTGTCTGACCTTCAATTCTAAATGATAGCTTTGCGGGGTAGAGTAATATTGGTCATAAGTCCTTGATTTTCATCACTTTGAGTATTTGCCAATCCCTTCTGGCCTGCAAAGTTTCTCTTGAGAAATCAGCTGACAGTCTTATGGGAGCTCCCTTGTAGGTAACTAATTGTTTTGCTCCTGCTGCTTTTAAGGTTCTCTCTTTGCCTTTAAACTTTGGCATATTAATTATGATGTGTCTTGGTGTGGGCCTCTTTGGGTGCCTCTTGTTTGGGACTCTCTGTGCTTCCTGGACTTATATGTCTATTTCTTTCACCAGGTAGGGGAACTTTTCCTCATTATTTTTTCAAATACGTTTTCAATTTCTTGCTCCCTCTCTTCTCCTGACATCATCCCCATGATGTGAATGTTGGTACACGTGAAGTTGTCCCAGAGGCTCCTTACACTGTCTTCATATTTTTTATTATTTTTTCTTTTTTGCTGTTCTTATTATAAAAAAATTTTTTGAATTTTTTTTTANTTTATCAGAATCAACACCCCTCACCTAAATAAATACATAAATATTTTCTCTATATATGTTTTTTAATATATCTTTACTGATTTTAGAGAGAGGAAAAGAGAGGGGGAGAGAGAGATAGAAACATCAATGATGAGAGAGTCATTGATTGGCTGCCTCCTGCACTACCTCCTACTGGGAATTGAGTCTGAAACCCAGGCTTTGCCCTAACTGGGAATTGAGGTGTGACCTTCAGGTTTATGGGTTGACACTCAACCACTGAGCCACTCCAGCCGGGTACTTTCTGCTGTTCTGATTGGGTGTTTTTTGCTTCCTTGTATTCCAAATTCTTGATTTGATTCTGAGTCCTCTACTGTTTTATTTCAGTTAGTGTAGCCTTCATTTCTTTTTTCTTTTTCTTTTTTTAATAAATTTTTTTAAATATATCTTTTATTGATTTCAGAGAGAGGAAAGGAGAGGGAGAGAGAGAGATAGAAACATCAATGATGAGAGAGTCATTGATCAAGCCCGCAACCCGGGCATGTGCCCTGACTGGGAATCGAACCCCAATCGCCTGGATCCTAGGTCGATGCTCAACCACTGGAGCAGGACTTGCTTCAGGGGGGCTTTGGTGCTCACCGAATCTGCTCTTTGAATGTGTCACTTGTGGAGGTGGTAGAGCTGTAATCCATTGTGGTCAAAGCTCACCACTGAGTCCACTGGCTTTGGAGCCTCCCAGGAGGTGCAAAATCACCACAGCCTGTGCCGTGCCCTGGGCCTCCCAGCATGAGCTACACAGCAATCTGTAGATGGCTGCTACTTGTTTGGGCTTGGAGGCGCCCAGGAGAGGCCAAGCTGTGAACCAGGGTGAGCTGCCACTAGTGTCGGGCCTGGGGCTACTTACTGAGAGGTATGGGGCGCACTGAGGCCAGCTGCTGCTCGTTTGAGAGATTTTAAGAAAGTCTGAAGGATGAGGCAAGGAAAAGCCAGTGGAAATGACTTGGATGAGCCTGCAAGTAAGGAGGGGCAGGGCTGGGTGAAAAGTGTGAGGCAGGTTGATGGAACTTCAGATATGCCACAGCCTGGTGGAACTGGGGAGGGCTCAGCAAAGGAACACTGGCCTCTGCTAGCTTTTCTGTCTGGGAGAAAGCTGCCCCTCTAGCTCTCACCCTGATTCCAAACAAGTTAGCTCCTCCCTGAACATCGCAGGTTCCTTTCAAGCTGCTGCCCAGTGCTGGAGCTCAGAGGGAGTGAGTCCAATTAAGTCCATGTGTGGGCCCTTTAAGAGGAGCTTCTCTGGGGCCAGCATCCTCCAGGTCACTCAGGCACAATCCCCACTGGTTTTTGCAGCCAGTTGTTGGGATTTTTCTTCCTTCTACTGGAACCCTGGCCTGGGGGGGCTTGGTGTGGGGCTGATATCTCTTGCTCCTCAGGGAAACCTCCACAGTCAGTCCCTCCCAATTTTAAACCACCACTTGTGGATATGGGACCATCTGGTATCGCAGTTACACTCCATGTCTTCGCCCCTCTTCCTGGCCTTGATGTGCTACTTCTTTAGTACCCTAGTTGTAGGACTTCCATTCAGCTAGATCTCAGGTGGCTCTGAATGATGATTGTAATTTTGATGTGGTTGTGGGAGGCAGCGAGTACAGCATTTATCTATGCCACCATCTTGACCGGAAGCCCCCCCAATACATATACTTTTTAATTGCAAGTAGATGATTCCCAAACTGATGTCATGAATTATTTTATTTTTAGCTTGATATAGATTATCTGAAAGATTAATTAATGAAGAATACATCACCCCAATCTTAAAGCTGAATTTCAGGCTACATAGTAGAGGACAGGATCTGAGGACAGGCCAGACTGGCCGGCCAACACACAACAAGCAGGGCCAGGTGTTAAACCTCAGCAAAGGACTTGACTTCCAAACTAAGTAATTTGATCTTTTAAAAACATGTAAATTTTTAAAGGTTTTAGGATGGAAAGTGCGATGACTAGAGCTTTCATTATTGCAGTTAGTGTGGCTGCTGCATGTCGGATAGGTCTGTGGAAAATCTGGAGGTGGGAGGTCACACAGGTGGAATTTCCTCTAACCTGGGAAAGAGGGTAATGATGAGAGGAACAAAGTAGTGGGAAGGGTGAGAAGGGATAAACGGAAAGGACAGGATCGCCATCAGTGCAAGAGCGGTGTGTTTTTGCTGGTGACAAGTAGCAGAAAAGGCAAAAGGAAGCCTCAAATTTCAACAGGAAAAGAAAAGTATTTTTGATAAGAGACAAATCAGGGGAGTGGTTGGAAATGTAGGATTAGAGCTCAAGACAGAGAGTAGCTGAGTGTTGTAAAGGGAGAGTTAAGAGGAGAAGGCCAAGCCAGACCGTGGGCAGCACCCCACCCTCAGTGTCAGAGATGTCCACCTCAGGCCACACGATTCTTTATTGCGGGAAGCTGTCCCACGCACTGTGGGCTATTCAGCAGTGTCCGGATCTCCGCTCACTGTGGTGCTAGTAGCCATTTCCCAGCTGGGACAATCAGATGTCTCAGACATCGTCCAGTGTCCCCAGAGAACAAAATAACCCCGTGAATAAAGGTGTGGACAGATGATAGTCATCATATTGCTTGCCTATTATTTTTTAACATTATAAATAAAGCAGTTTTAACATTAAATATTAACACATGCAGGGCAAAGCACAGTCATTCATGAAAAGGTACTTGTCCCAGGACAGCACTGTGGTGGGATTCCAGCAGAAAATGCAGGTGACTGCCTGACAGCAGCAGTGGGTAGCTATTTCAGTCCTGGTGGTGGTGGTGGTAGTGGCTGTGGCGACTGTGGCAGCAGCAGCAAAAACAGTGGTGTGACTTCCTCTGATAGCCACTGCTAATTGACTGCACGCTTCATGCCATGCTAGTAAGCCCTTTATGTACGTTATCCCACTGATCCTCACAAAGCCTTGTACAAATACATTTCAGAGATAAGTAAATGGATGCTTAGATGAAAACTGATTTATTCAGACCTCCAGGCTAAGCAAAGAGTGGAGCCAGGAGCTCAACTAGGAAATCTGTCTCTAGAGCGTCTACCCTGAAGTCATTGTGCAATCGCTCAGAAACCAAGGAGGCAGCAGGATGTAGCTGCAGCAGAATCCCTAGTGAGTTGGCCCAGTGGGGCTGCAGGAATGCAGTGAGGGCCATAAGAACAGCATGGTGGAGAATGGGACAATTGGAGTGGAGGACCCCTACGTGGCAGCCCATGAGAAAAGCACCGCAGCTCATAAGCACAGGGCAGCCGCTGTGAAAATACCTGCTGAGTGCTTGGTAACTTCCCACTGTGCAGAACACCTTCTAATCCATCACTGCACAGAGTCATTTCCCTGCAACAGTGGAGAACCCAGCCCCAGAGCAGTCGGTGGCTGTTCCAAAGTGATGCAACTCGTCAGTGAGCGCAGGACTGTACCCCGCGTCACCTGACTCCATGTCTAGTGCCCTTTCTACTCTCCCATAAGACAACTGACCATATGGTACCTTTCCTGCATTAGACAAGTACATAGCAGGTTCATCTTTGAAAGGAAGTGTAGTCACGTGTGACTTTAAAATGTGATATCTCCTAAGAGTAATAACACTGATGATGAAGTTTATTTAGAGTCATTTTTATCAAATACTAAATACATAACTGACACGAATCTGAATGGAAATTAAGTTACAGAGGTTTAGACTGCCAAGTGGAGTGAAGACCAAGTAATGGTAGTGCTGGGAAGGTAAGTTCGATGGCATGTTGTCTTTTCCCAGCTGAGTCCTGTGTGCACTGCACTCTTCATGCCCTCGCCGTGGCAGGAGTAGACCTCTTCCTCCAGCGATTGGAGGAGGGTGTTTATTGCTCTTTCACTGAGGCTCCCGGTGAATGTGGCGTCTCAGACATGGGCGGCCATCCTGGGCAGTGTTCACTGTTTTGCTGGAGGCTCGTCATGAGGTTATATGTGGAAGCATTCCTGGATGTACTACTAACTTTAACAGCATCAGTGAGCAAGCAGCTCATCCACTCGAGTCTGTGTGATGAGCTGATGTTCAGCTCTGTGTTCTGTGAGGCTGATTGTTGGAGAGAGATTCTCCGTTCATTGTAGAATCAATGTGTCCCCTCTGCCCAGTGCTCTGATCATTCTAAAGTGCAGAAGCCACTCTGCATGCCTGTCATGTAACCTCAGGTGTTCGGCAAGGCTGCAAAGAAATTCTATGGTATAAGGTACCTACAGAAATGAGGTTTCTGTAGGAGAATCATTCACAGAGCACATTGATACTTCAGTCACAGTGGGGAACACATGTCTGCGTGGGGACAGTGGAGTGTTAGGTGGTTGGAAAGCTGCCTGTCCCAGGCCACATCCAGACACTTGCTCTTGGTCCTCGCACGTGGTCTTCCTGCTGCCGAAGCAGCAGCGCCTTCCCCTGCACATGTCGGGTGACTGGCCACAGAGGAGCAGACCCAAGAGGAGTAAAGGATTTGTATATTTAACATTTGTAAATAGACAGGTGTCCTCTGTAAAGTATGTAGGAGTCAGCATATCAAATAGTTAATCAGAAGAGAGCTCAGTATAAAACTGAAAGCTCAAAACCCCAGATTCGTGTTTTGGCTTATTTGTCTTGTGTCCTGATCTAGACTCTGAAAGAAAGGCAGACATTTGAAGATATGCATGTTATTTTCACAAATCAGACGTGTCCTGCTCCACTTTGGTGAGAGTAACTGAGACGGGGATCTCTAGTGGGCTCTCCTTTCTTGTAGCTCAGCTTCCTCTGGGTGGTTTGGAGGGCTGTTGGAATCCTTCTGCCCCCTCTCGCCGATACATAAACTGGAGCTGATAATGAATTGGCCCTTCAAGAATCAATACAATTCTCATCTCGTTGGAATATATTTTCTTAATTGTTCCCAACAGAATCTTTTCCTCTTGAGACTTTAACACCCCACTGACTTTACTGGATAGATCTTCCAGACAAAAAATCAATAAGGAAGCAGTGACTCTAAATGACACACTAGATCAGATGGATTTAATTGACATTCACAGAACATTCCACCCCAAAGCTGCAGAATATACATTCTCCTCAGGTACACATGGGACATTCTCAAAGATAGACCACATGTTAGGACACAAAACAAGTCTCTACAAGTTCAAGAAGATTGAAATCATATCAAGCATCTTCTCAGACATTTACACCATGGAGTACTATGCAGCTATAAAAGAGAAGGATCCCTTACTCTTTGGGACAGCATTGTGGGACTGGAGAGTGTTATGCTAAAAAGTCAGAGAAAGACAAGTGTCACATGATCTCACTCATGTGGAATCTAAGGAACGAAATAAATTGATGAACAAAACAGATCCAGAGACACAGAAGTATGGAACAGACTGAGGGATCTCAGAGGGAAGGCAGGGGTGGGTGGAGAGAGATTAACCTAAGAATTTATATGCAGCCCAGCCAGGCGTGGCTTAGCGGTTGAGCATCGATCTGGGATCCAGGTGATCAGGGTTCGATTCCCGGTCAGGGCACATGCCCGGTTGTGGGCTTGATCAATGACTCTCTCATCATTGATGTTTTTCTCTCTCTCTCTCCCTCTCCTTTCCTCTCTCTGAAGTCAATAAAGATATATTTAAAAAAAAAAAAAATTTATATGCATATATACATAACCCATGGACACAGACAATAGTGGGGTGTGGGCCTGGGGGGAGGGGATCAATGGGGGGAAAGAGAGTACATTTGTAATGCTTTCAACAATAAAGATAAATTTTAAAAAAATAAAAAAATTCTTTCCCCTTGAAATTTGTAAAACAGTGTCTTGGCTACTTCTTTGTACCACTAATAGGTTATTTTCAGAAATTCCATTTTCCTGATTTAGATTATATCTCCCCACTGGACTGTAAGCCGTTTGAAGGTAGGAGCTATTTTTTATAGCTCTGAATATTTCCAAAATCTTCTGTGGCACATGAAGTAGAGGACACTTGGTGTGTCTGAAGTTAGGGTGATGATTTACGAAGGATGCCCGGGATTGGCCGGGGAACGCAGTCCAGGTATGTGTCTTTACCCACGCATAGCACTTCCTTTGTGTCATGGTAAAAGTGGAACAGGAAGTTGAGATGATGTTTGTGCGGTACCACAAAAGCCTAAAATTATTTATTTCCTTGCTTTAGTTAAAATGCTTTTTTTCACGCTTGACAAATGGATTATGATGGCCTAATCCAAAATTTTCTGCCTTTAACAGGATGGAAATTTCTCTATCAGAACTGTATTTGAAAAGCCTCGGAACATGATGGTCGTTGGACAGTCGGCCTTCGCAGACTTTGGTAAGGTTTTTCCGTCTTCCACGATCTGCCCTGCTCTCTGACCTTGTCATGTTAATTCCACATGTCAGAGAATAACCTCAGTGTCTTCACAACTACAATGGGTTTTAAAGACAGCTGTTCTAGTGGTGTGCCTGGGATGTGGTCAGTTCTTTGATACAGTAAGGAGCGATTTATAACATGTTTAAATTACAGCTTGAACCCAAGGGGTCCCAGTTTTAGGAAAGTGTCCTTGTATTCCAGGTTATGGAACCAAAATAGTTGAAGGAGTTCGCCTGACCTTGTGAGACATGAACACTAAAAGCCATTTTATGAATTCACTACAGGACAAATGACTCTCTACTTTCCATAGATTCTGTGCTGGAAATCAAGTTCCCATTGGTTAGGAACTTCTAAAACATAGATTGCTCTTTCCTGAGTTTTCAGGGTTATAATGAAAAGGATTTTGTATTAGGTGGGAAAGTGGTCTAGATGACCACCACCTAAGAGTTGAAAGCTCACTCCCTTTATTCTGCCAGCAAACACCTCAGCCTGTTCATCAAAATGCAGGTGACATGTCACCACACCCAGAGGCCTCTGTTTCTCCTTTATAAAAGGGGGTGACGATGCCCACCTCTTGAGGCTGTTGTGAGGAAAGTACAGTGTCCCACATAGTAAGAGCACAGGACATTACTGTAGAGCTTGTCTTCCCGTTGGACTTGCCTGGTTTTGCTGTTGCTGCTGCTCTTTACTCAGGGGACTGAATCAACTCACAACCCATGTCATAGAGACGCATCCCGGCCCAGCTACAGCAGGAGGTTTGATAGTGTTATCAGGTGGAAATTTCACCATGAATCTGTAATTTCACCATCGTGTACTGTAATTGAGTGTCATTACATTGAGTACTACCTTGATCTTGAGCAAACTTCTGGTGCCTAATTTGTAGTCTTTAATGCAAATAGCCAAGTGATAGAATACTTGAAATTATGATTTTTAATTTGTTGGTTGACCTGATTAGCCGGATTAATGACAGATCCTTTGCAAGTCTCTCTCTAGGGCAGAAAGTATATAGGCATTATGTACTTCTCAGGGGCCGCCTGACCTCCCTGGGTAAGAACCTCCAAATTAAAGTTATTTGTCTCATGATTGTATGTTATGTATGATAAAGTGCCTTGCTTTTGACAAAATTATCAGTAGCTTTACTTTAAATTTTTTAATTTATCTTTATTGTTAAAAGTATTACACGTGTCCCGTTTTTCCCCCCATTCACCAACTCAACCTCGCTCCCACCCCCTCCCCAGGCCTTCGCCCCATTATTGTCTGTGTCCACGGGTTATGCATATGTGCATGTAACTTCTTTGGTTAATCTCTTCCCTCCCTCCACCCCCCCTTCCCTCTTCCCTCTGAGATATGACCATCTGTTGCATGCTTCAGTGTCTCTGGGTCTATTTAGTTTGTCAGATTCTTTTGTTCGTTAGCTTCTTCTTAAAGAAGACCCTTCAACATTTCATGTAATACTGGTCTGGTGGTGATGAACTCCTTTAGCTTTTTCTTATCTGTGAAGCTCTTTATCTGACCTTCAGTTCTAAATGATAGCTTTGCTGGGTAGAGTAATCTTGGTTGTAGGTTCTTGCTTTTCATCACTTTGAATATTTCTTGCCACTCCCTTCTGACCTGCAAGATTTCTGTTGAGAAGTCAGCTGACAGTTGTATGGGTGCGCCCTTGTAGGTAACTGTTTTCCTCTTGCTGCTTTTAAGATTCTCTCTTTGCCTTTAACCTTTGGCATTCTAATTATGATATGTCTTGGTGTGGGCCTCTTTGGGTGACTCTTGTTTGGACTCTCTGTGCTTCCTGGACTTGTATGTTTATTTCTTTCACCAGGTAGGGGAAATTTTCTGTCATTATTTTTTCAAATAGGTTTTCAATTTCTTGCTCTCTTTTTTCTCCTTCTGGCACCCCCATAATGCAAATGCAACTTAAAGTTGTCCTAGAGACTTCTTACACTATCTTCCTATTTCTGAATTCTTTTTTCTTTTTGCTCTTCTGGTTGGGTGTTTTTTGTTTCCTCGTGTTTCAAATTGCTGATTTGATTCTCAGTGTCCTCTACTCTACTGTTGACTTCCTGTAAATTATTCTTCATTTCAGTTCATGTAGCCTTCATTTCTGATTGGTACTTTATTATGTCAGTGATGATCTCACTAGTTTCCTTAAAAGTCTTACTAATATCCTTGAGCATCCTTATAACCATTATTCTGAACTCTGTATCTAATAGTTCACTTGGCTCCATTCCATTTCGTTCTTTTTCTGGAAATTTCTTCTGTTCTCTCATTTGTGACATGTTTCTTTGCCTCTGCATTTTGGTTGCTTCCTGGTGTTTGTTTCTATGTATTAGGTAGAGTTGCTGTGTTTCCTGGAATTGGTAGAGTGGCTTTGCGTAATAGGTGTCCTGTAGGGTCCAGTGGCTCAGTCTCCCCAGTCACCTGAGCTGGACCTTCTAGGTGCTCCCCTGTGTGGGCTGTGTGCACTGTCATGTTGTAGTTGAGCCTTGGTTGCTATTGGTGTCATTTGGAGGAATTGACCCCCAGGCCACACGGCTGTGAGGACCAGCTGCACCTATAGCTGAATAGTTGCTGTGCTGGAGACTCCCCTGTGGAGCAGGATTTACTTCAGTTGAGCTTTGATGTTCACCAAGTCCACCCCTTGAGTGTGTCACTTGTGGATGTGGTAGAGTTGTAATCCAGCGTGGTTGAAGCTGACTACTGGGTGCACTGTCTCTGAGGCCTCATATGAGCTACAAAGTCAGCCTCTGCCTGTGCGTTGCCCAGGGCCACCCAGAATGAGCTATACAGCAATCTGTAGATGGCTGCTATTTGTTCTGGTCTTGGAGGTGTTCAGGAGAAGCCAAGCTATGAACCAATGCAGGCTGCCACTATTGCCCAGCCTGGGGCCACTTATTGAGAGGTGTGGGGCACGCTGAGGCCAACTGCTGCTGCTTTGAGAGATTTTAGGAAAGTCCTAAGCATGAGACTAGAGAGGCCATTTGCATAGAAAAGCCACTGGAAATGGCTTGGATGAGCTTGCAAGTAGGGAGGGGCGAGGTCTCAGGGAATCACCAGGACGGGGAGAAAGGTATGAGGTTGATGGAGATTCAGAGAAGGTGCCAGCCTGCCACCTCTGTAGGTGGAGGGATCATCAAAGGAGCAGTGGCCTCTGCCAGCTCTTCTGTCTGGGAGAAAGCTGCCCCTCCAGCTCTTACCTTGATTCCAGGCAAGTTAGTTCCTCCCCAAATGTCCCAGGTCTCTTTCAAGCTGCTGCCCAGCGCTGGAGCTTAGAGGGAATGATTCCAATTAATTCCTTGTATGGGTCCTTTAAGAGGAGCTGCCTGGGGCCAGCATCCTCCATGTTACTCAGCCACAATCCCCACTGGTTTTTACAGCCCGAAGTTGTGGGGACTTCTCTTCCCAGCCCTGGAACCCTGGGCTGGGGAGCCTGATGTAGGGCTGGGGCCCCTTGCCCCTCCAGGAAATCTCCACCATGGAGATTCCTTCTCAAGTTTAAACCTCAGCACCGGGTGTGGGCCCATGTCTGCGTCTCTGCAATTCTCCCCTGATTCTACCCCACATCTCCGCCCCTCCTACCAATTTCACTGCTTCTTCGGTTCCCTAGTTGTAGGACTTCTGTTCAGCTAGATTTCAGGAGGCTGTGAATGATGGTGGTCCTGTGTTTTAGTTATAATTTTGTTGTGGTTGTAGGAGGCTGAGGGTACCACTGTTACCTACACCGCCATGTTGTTGTCTCTCTTCAAATTTTTTAAAAATTCCACTAACTAGACATTTATTAAACATAGACATTCCACTAAACATAGACAGTTACATGTTGGTATTTTTAAGATGTGTAGAATATAGGATACAGTCAATGAAGAAACAACTGTATTTCTCCCCTATTTTTAATAACTTTAGGTAGTATACGAGTAAACTTTTTTTAATGTATCTATAAACTTTAGAAAAATATCCCACAATATCTGTTTAAAAGTCCATGTATTCTTAGTTGGGTATTATAAAAAAACAAGATTGTTAATGAGTCCAAAAACGCAGATGGCATTGAATAAGTTTATGAATATTAATATATACAAAATATGCATTTTCCTATACATTTGAATAAATCTGTGAATTGCATCCTGCCTTTCATCTTCTGCCCCTCCCACTTCCTTTGAACCAAATCAAGGGAAGTGACTGACAGGCAGGAGTCAGCATGATTTCATAAATTTCCTTTCATTTGGTAAAAATTCACATGCTTGAATATATGATGTAGCTCACAGGAACAAGCCCAGTCCATGAAGGAGTGCTTAAATGGCTCCCAGCACATTAGGCTGTCTAGGAACAGAAGGTTTTTACAGCTGGGATGAAGTTTTTAGCTCCTAACATAAAATACTAAAAGATAGTTTTAAAACCTTCTTTAAAATTAGGCTCTTCTGGTATATCCAAAGTGAGGTCGATAGCATGGTTTGCAATCAAAGCAGGAACCTTTAGCAAATAAGGAGGAAATAACTACAGGCCTGCCGCTGCAGGATACGTTCTGGGAAATGTGTCGTCAGGTGATGTTGTTGTTATCTGAACCCATGGACTGCATTTCATTGCAATGTATGAGATTAATGCCATGAGCAAGTCGCTGCCATCATCTCATGGCCACACAGATGTGGACTCTATTTCTTCACTTCTGAAATATAAATTTGGGCCATTGTGTTTTGCAAGGTTTAATATTGCTCAGTAAATACCCAGAGAGCGAGGAAGAATACATTTGTTTTCCTGTTCGAAGACCAAGGGAAAGAGGGCCAATCCCCTGAAGCCACAGTCTGTGAATTAGAAAACCAAGCACAGGGGCCAAAGCAACTTGCCTGTGGTCCTGAAGCCAGACAGACCTTGGTTTGAGCCCCAGCTCCCCCTACTTACTTAACAAACTTATAAAAGTTACTTAACCATTTCATACTGTGGTTAATATACTTTGCTAAGTGAAAAATTTATTT